ATATGCCTACCAGAGATGTCATGAAGCCAACGTGATCATGAGCTTATCGCCATAAATTTCGCTTTTGTTTATTAGCATTCAGCATACTAAAGTCAATTTTTTGGGCTGCCAGAGACTCCCCCTACCTCCTTACCGGTCCACACAATGCAAGTCTTTCCCCCTAGTCAAATCCACAGAGGTTAGGGAGGACCTAGTCTAAAGAGAGAGGCGTTTACATTAGAAGGGTTAAGCCTTGCAAATGCGGAGTTTCCAGATATAGAGACCAGACCCCTATCAAATTCCTCATCTCTATGTAGACCAAAGACCTTGAGACTCCATGGACCAAGTACAGTGAGTTTTGGATGACCATTGATTGCAGTTGTGCCCAGGACAATTGCCAAAAGCTGCGTTTTTGAGCCTAAACGTCAATTTTGCATATGTCAAGGCCTATATATGTGGTCCATAAGTCAAATACGTTCCTTAAATGTTGGAAATCCATTTCAGAATGATAATGAAAGTTGTCAGAGTTGATCATAGGGTTCCAATGAGCCCTTGAATGCCAAGATTGGTGGAAAACTCAAATACCTAGGATTCACCCTTCAAAGGGCTTCAAGTGTCAGGACCTGGTCCCTGTTCAGAGACAGTCCTGTGTGTATTTGACCCCGGTAGTCCATACTACTGCTGATGTATGGGACAGCTGAATTTTTTCCTTTTATGGGTTGTAGGAATTTCTTTTATATGGGTGGCTGTGCTGGCTGACCAGCTGATCCCTGGGTTGCTGATCAGCTGGAGGGGAAAATAGCATCAGGGTTCTGTTTGGGAGGTACTGCCAAATGGGACACAAACAGTCTTGTCCAATGGAGAAATATATGAGGGTCAACTGGAATGTCTGTGAACATGTTGGTTGTGTCATATCCATACAATCCCGACCTCTGCTCTGGGCTCCCGGAACTCCGAAACTGACTCCAGAGCCCTGCTTCCTTCCATTACCTTTCTCCTTGCTGACTCCCAAGAGGTTATCCCACCTCCAGCTCTGACACCACCTTCAGTCTGACTCTGGAACATTCTGGGTCCAACCTCAACCTCAACACCTTCCAGACGAGCATGCAACACCTATGCTCCTGACTCCGGACCTCCACTCTGGAATCCTGTTTGCATCTCTGTCTCTGGAACCTCCGGTCTTAGCTCCGACCTCGGACTTTGACCCCACCTCTGCTTATACCCATTGTATTGGTTAGCCGATTCCATTTATTTACCTTTGCCAATATTCTGGAGTTTGGCCTCCAAGTTCGGACTTTCTGGACTTACTTCGGACCTTGCAACTATTGCATTGTCCCATTTCAATTCCGCTATTCTCCCTCATTCCTATTTGGGCTGCCGCTTCCTTTCTATTCAGTCAGCTAGCCATTCCCCACTCCCATCCTCCTTCCTTCCTCCTTGGGCCTTGGCCCTTCACTCCTCCTTTGAGAAACACCATTTAGTCAAACCCTTGACCCTCAGTGTTGTTCCTCTTTCCAGCTCCCTTTGTCTCCTTTCATCCTACCCTTGTTCCTTTTGATTCTGGACCCCTCCTTATATACAATAATTATGTACCTAGTAACTTGTAACCTCAGTCTGAAATTGACTTGATTCCCCCCTAAGAGACTTCCCCTCTGCTAGATCTGAAATTAGGGACCCCCAGGACAACCAGCAATGGCACAGCACTCTGCCTGAGTCGCTGAGGCTGAGGTCCTTCCACTCTCCGATTCCCCTTCTGAAGTCCTGGAAGTGGGTTGACTAGGCACCACTACTCTTTCTGTTCTAGATGGCGCTTGCAGCGTCCTCCCTTCCCCCTTTAGGTCCCTGGAAGCACCCTCCATCCACCCATCCTAGGTTCCCTTGCAGTCCTTCACCTCCATTGGCAATCCAGTCCATGCCTACATCTGCCAACTGATGATGATCGCACCCCTCCAGAACCTCCAATGTCACCTTCCGCTTCTGTCATATCCGTACATACCCGATCCTGATCCTGATCTGACTCATGGACCCTCTGCTTCACCACTTCCAGAGTCCTACCCTACCCCTGTCTGCTCCGATATCCACCTTTGGACCGAACACCACACCTCCTCCCCTTCTGTCCCTCTCCTACCTCCATCCACTCCGATACCCACCTTCAGACATGACCCCATTCCCCTCTCCACTCCACTCCTTACTCCTCTCCAACCCTCATCTGCCAAACCTCCACCAAGTTACAACCTCCCACCACTGTCCTGTACCTCGTACTCAGACACCACCTGTACCTTCACTCCAAGACTCCATCATGGTCCCAACCTTGGACTTTGACTCCACCTCGGCTTAAGTCCATTGCATTGGTGACCTCATTCTACGTAAACACCAATGCCAACATTCCTTGGACTTCCAACCCCACCTCCGCAACCTCTGTAAGCTCCGCAACCTCAGAGCTCCATGGACCATACTCAGCACTTTCACTGCTTGTAATGTATCTTTTGCACTTTCCCCTCATCCCTATTTGGACTACTGCTTCCTCCCATTTTAGCCAGTTAGTCATCATCCCCACTTCACCTCACCCTCCTGCCCCTCTGGGCTTTGCCCTCCCTATCTCCTTTCGGATGTACCACAGAGTCTAACCCATGACCTTCAGTACAAGGGCTTTTGCTTTGCACTCATCGAGGCCAAGGCAGAGCTTTCCACCGGCAGTGCTGAGCCTCTTTTCAAGGCTGCCTGGTACTATAGTGCCTTCATAAGGAACCACTTTGACAAAACCCATTCATGTCTCCCTTGCTTTCTCCTCTACCTTGCTGGTGAGCTTCCACATTTCTTCCCCGGATACACCCTAAATTCATGCCCTAGGTGCCCACATTGGCTTTGCTGGCACCGTCTTGACCATTCACCCTCATCTTGAGGTCCTAGCCCCCACGTTGCCACTCTTCCATCATGCATCCAACATTGATATGCGCATGCAAGTGTCAGGGTTCAGCACCCTGCCTTAGGGTGCCCCGGACTCCCCACCTACTTTACCCCCTTTTATTCTTTGACTGTTGCCTTGTTGTTGCCTTTGTGTGTTGTGTACATGCGCGCACGGGATAGCGTGGGAACTTTCTGAGCGAGCAGCTCGCCCAGAATGTTCCCACGGGTCACAGCCACAGTTCTGGGCGAGCAACTCGCCCAGAACGTTCCCATGCTTACTGGGCACTGCCACCTGGATGTTCCCTCCGGGTCACACTACACAACTCTAGGAGCTGTATAGTTGTGGGCATGTGACCCATTCCTTTATATAGCAACCATGCGGGGAGATGAGACCTTTACCCTTCTTCTCATCTCATGCCCCGCATAGGCAAGTGTATATTATCTTTCCTTTTACTATACATCTCATGCCCCGCATAGTGTGAGGACAGGTTAGATGGGGGCTGAGGTCAGGGGGCCTCCGAGTCCGAGGCCGGGCCCTGACAGCAAGCTGCCTGTTTTTTTTCGTGCAACAAAAAAACACGATTCTCGTGTTGCATAACTACTACAAATCTGAACTTCCACATATAACCTCTAACCTGATCATTACGTTTCTGTATCCTACCGACTTCGGTTCCCTGCACGGTACCACGAAGTACACAATTGAATACTCATCGCAGCTTGATGAGAAGAGACTCCTATTTTCCGGCACTGTTGGTGATGAGAAAATATTCATCAAGTTCACCCACAATATTCCGAGGATGCACATCCACATGCTTCTCGCTTGGTTGTGCACCTGCTTTGAAGAGGTGTCAGCCCATTGTGGGTGGATGGTATATGGTTGTCATGGCTTTAATCGGGGATGATTATCATGAATTGAGATGAAAGCCTTGTTCAAAGCTGAAATCGAAGAGAAGGTGAAGGCACTCCACCAACAAGCATTTGTACATGGTGATATTTGACCCACCAACATCATGGTGTGGAAAGACAGTAAGCCTGGAATTCTACTAGTTGACTTTGACTGGGCAGGTAAAATTGAGGAAGTGCAATATCCAATGAACATGAATAATGTTGATATCAAGCGACCTGAAAGAGCAGTTGATGGTGAGCTTATATGCATCGACTCCAGTTTTGAACTCTGAAAAGAGTGGTTGCGCAGATACCATTGATCCATTATCCATCACTTGACAGTAGGTGGCTGGATCTCCACCATGTTGCAAATACAAAATAGTCTAGTCATGGGTATCTCTGGAAGCCCAAAGACACCATGAAGCACAAGTTGAAGGCACTGAGAGAGAAGCTAAAGGAAGTGGCAACTCATTAGACATGTTGCCATGCCTCAGAGCACTCCCACCTCAATGACATGATCAATTGGAATGTGTTTATAGGGCTTTTGGAACCTGGGTCCATCATTTCAAAATAAAGTATTGGGGTTGATGTGAGGTCTCAGGGGGTTGCTCAGCACACCAGACCGTACGTGACACAATGGTGTGTATAATTACAATGGTGTTAAGCAGTAACCAGAAGTTGCTGCTTAGCCACATGACTCTATCATCAGGAAACCCCCGAGGCTGCTTGGAGTGATTGAGATCATTTCAATGTCACACAATTTACAATCACCACAACCAGGTCCCCTGATTACAATTACACCAATCACATGGGTGATTGAGCTGATTGTACTGATTGTACTAATTGTCACATTTCTCTTCTACATGTTGAAGTTCATCGATAAAATTATTATATTTGAAAATTATGTTATGTACATACAGGCATACCAAATCACAATGGTGCAAAACAATAGGAGGAAAGCGAAATGGGTGAAAATACAATGTAATTAAACAAAGCAAACGCACGCCTCAACCGCTGGACCGTATGGCACCAAACTCAATGGGAAGATGGGGCTGGATCTCCTCTATCAAACAAGTCTGGGCCCATCGGAAACAGACATGTGGTTGTTGAGTATGCACAGTAAGAAGTTGGGGTTAGTGAAATACAATATAATTAAAGAAAGCAGACGCCCACCTCAACCACGGGATCATTTGGCACCAAACTCGGTGGGAGGATGGGGCCAAATTTCTATATCAAACGAGCGTAAGTTCATCCGAAACGGAGGTGTGGTTGTTGAGTACGAGCTGTAAGAAATTGAGGTTAGTGAAATACAATATATTTAAAGGAAGCAGATGCGCACCTCAATCGCTGGACCGTTTGGTACCAATCTCTGTAGAAAGATAGAGCTGGATCCCATCTATGGGATGAGCTCAGAATCGTCGGAAATGAATGCGTGGTTGTTGAGTACATGCAGTAAGAAGTTGGGATAGTGTCATGTGTGAGAAGTTAAGTTGGGGTTGGATGGAATGACTTGAAAAAAAAGAATATGGGAAGGGAGCATATTGGGGAAGGGTTGGGTGACTGTGGAAGGGTGTTGGCCCATGAGCACAAGTAATGAACATCGGAGTGGAGTACAAAATATCGTGTTGCATAGTAAAGAGACATGGGTGTAGATAGCGTGAGGTGGAGTGAAAAAAAAAATTACAAGTTGCAAACCAATTCATTTGAAAACTGTACAGCACCTGGAGCAAACAAATGGACTCGCGATTGTGATGATTGAGATGATTGAGAGTAGTCGACTGGGCAGATTGGGCAGATTGAGCACTTGAACTGCTCTCAATCACCTCAATCGGCCTCAGGGGTTTCCTGATGATGTACACCATTGTTACATCAGACTCGGGGTTTGGGGCTATTGCCCTGACATTCTCCCCCTTGGCATTACATGTGTGACACATACATGGTTGTTGAAAGAAAAAAAAGAAATTGAATTCAAGGTAAAAAATTAATTTTCCTTTAAAGAAAGTTTGTAATCACCACTTTAAAGTGGGAAATGTGTACATTTAGGAAGAGGGTGGTGGCAGTACATGGGTATTGCAGGAAAGGGAGGAGGATAAAAGAACAAGGAAGTTTCGAAAGTAGATTTCGACCCAAAGATTGTATATCTTTGGTATTCCTCCTCACTTGTTCCATGAGGAGTCGTGTGTAAATGGTGTTTACACACAAGTGGTGGTGGATTTGGGTTAGATGGAGTAGAAGTTTCTGCAATTGTTACTTGCAGTTCCTCACATACAATATTGTGTGCAGGGCCTTGAGTTGGGGGAAGGTGTTTTCACAGGCACCTCAATGGCGTATTACTGTGTCACTTTCCCTTTCTTTGAGGGTAGAGTTATTGCCCTGGAGGAGGGTTTTCCTCTGGGTTGTTCATCTGGACATCCAATTGCTGTGTTGGATGTGATGACATAGCCTGGGCGGTGTTGAGCTGTGGGCTCGACAAAGTGGGCACTTCCTGGGTGGGAGTCGGTTGTTGTGTTCCCGAGCCACTTGGCTCAGGTGTAGAGTATGGTAAGTTTACTGTTCTTCCTATGGGGAAGGATGGTTGCTGGCTCGTCTGTCCAGTGTGGAGACTTGCATCTCTCTCTCAGTATTTGGAAGCTTTCGCTTCCTGCCCCACAGCTTTTGCAGCATGTTCCTCAGGAGTCCTGAGTGGTTTGAACTGGGACTTCACATAGGCAGCTTTTCCTAGACTTTCCCAGGAGATTTGTCCCCTGTTTCCTGGGGAGCTGTAATCCTCCATGAGTTTTGCAATACTTTGGAGTTCCAAGAAATATTTCTTGGTTTCCTTCGCTTTTTCACGAAGGACTCTGTGTACCTTGCTGCTTTAAAGGTGGCTTTGGCCTGTTCATACCATTGTACAAATGCTTTTCCACTCACACTTGTCCACCAAATGTATGCAGTGTCATGTGCCACTTCTGACCCTGCTGTTCTCCTCATGGGGAAGTTGGGGTTGATTGTTATATTGATGGGAGCTTCAACTTTGCCAAACTCGTTGAGTTCAGCGGTCTCATATAACATGTGTGTTAGGTACCGGGTTGGTGGCTCAAGGAACAAGGCCTGGGGGGTTGGGCTTTAGCCTCAGCGACTCTGAAGGAGTGCTGTGCCCACCTACTGTCTCAGTGCCTGTTAGAACGGGCGGATTCGGATGACTCCGGAGTGGAATCAGAGACTTAGCGTGGAAGGACCTCAGCCTCAGCGACTCAGGTGGAGCGCTGTGCCATTGCTGGTTGTCCTGGGGGTCCCTAATTTCGGATCTAGCAGAGGGAAAGTCTCTTGGGGGGAATTCAGGTCGCTTTTGGACTGAGGTTCCAAGTTACTATGTACATTGTATATAAGGAGGGGTCCGGAATCAAAAGGAGCGAGGGTAGGACGAAAGGAGACAAAGGGAGATGGAAAGAGGAACAACACCGAGGGTCAAGGGTTTGACTCAATGGTGTTTCTCCAAGGAGGAATGAAGGGCCAAGGCCCAAGGAGGAAGGAAGGAGGTTGGGAGTGGGGAATGGCTAGCTGACTGAATAGAAAGGAAGCAGCAGCCCAAATAGGAATGAGGGAGAATAGCGGAATTGAATAGGACAATGCAATAGTTGCAAGGTCCGAGGTAAGTCTGGAAAGTCCGAACTCGGAAGTTAAACTCCGGAATATTGGCAAACATGATTAATTGGAATGAGCTAACCAATACAATGGGTATAAGCAGAGGTGGGGTCAAAGTCTGAGGTCGGAGCTAAGACCGGAGGTTCCGGAGACAGAGACATGAACAGGATTCTGGAGCAGAGGTCTGGAGTCAGGGGCATAGGTGTTGCGTGCTCGTCTGGGAGGTGTCGAGGTTGAGGTCGGACCTGGAATGTTCCGGAGTCGGACCGAAGGTGGTGTCGGAGCCAGAGGTGGGATAACCTCTTGGGAGTCAGCAAGGAGGAGGTGACAGAAGGGAAGTAGGACTCTGGAAGTCAGGTTTGGAGTTCTGGGAGCCCGGAGTGGAGGTCGGGATTGTATGGATATGACAGTGCCCACATTTTCAAGGTGACTTGAGGCTGCCTTGTTGAGGGGGTGAAAACCAGTTGATATTCAGACTAAAGTTATGATGATGTAATATACAAGTATATATATAGTAAAGAAACTGAATGGGTCAGGTTATAACAAAACAAAACAAGGGGCCGGCATCTGGGTCAGAGTGCATGGTCGTGACAATGTGGACACTTCCCTGCAGGGTAGCTTGCCCATAGGGTGCTGAGGTACTCAGCAGCCTGCTGCCTCTGGCAGTGGTCCCCGCTTTGGGGTCTGCCGTTGGTTGCCCACTGCTCTCCCTCTTCCCCTGTCAGGGCATACACCCTGACCTATCCCATACCTGCATCCACACCTGCACTCACACCTGCACCCATGCCCACACCCAGCTGTTGCACTTCCTGTGCATGCCCTGTGCCGGGCGCTCCATGCGGCCGGATGCCCCAGACGCCCCAGGTCTCAGATCTCATGTGATTTCCGGATATCTCCAGAAGTTTTCGATATTGTGGCCACTGTGGGAAGATGAGAAGTTAACTTCCTTCTCTGACCCACAGTAGGCAAGTTGTATATACTTGCCTCTTGCTTATATACAGTGCCCCAAAAAACCGTTGCAATGTTTTGCACTTTTCACTTTACAAGCTTATTGCACCCTGGGAAGGGATCCTGAAATTGCATAAAAATATGACAATAATGCACTAGTAGCTCATCAATAGCTCCACCAAGTCTCTAATAAATGTGTCCATTTTTGGTAAAGTTATTTACTTTCCAAAGGACCCATGTCATTGCAACGGTTTTTTGGTGTGCATTTTGGAGAAAGGAAAATCACATTAACTAGTATTTAGTACAGCCACCATTTTCCCTAAGTAGTGCCTCAATCCTCCTAGGCATACTCTCGATTAAATTCTGGCAGACACTTGGTCCTATCGTCTCCCACTCCTCCTGAAACTGATCCCACAGCTCATGAACACCACCTGGAGGTTCTTCATACTCCCCAAGCTTCCTCTTTACATGGTTCCATAATTGTTTGATTGGATTAAGGTCTGGGGACTGGAAGGGCAACTCCATGACCCTGATACCATGGTTATTGAACCAGTTCTGGGCCCTTTTGCTGATGTGTTTTGGGCCATTGTCCTGTTGGAAGAGGATGTGGGCTGGGTATTTGTCATAATATGAGAGGGTTTGCTGGAAGTCCTCTTCCAGGATTTGGCAGTAGAGCTCTGCATCCATCTTCCCATCAATCTTGCCTGCCATTCCAACTCCATCTGATGTCATACATCCCCAAACCATGACAAAACCACCACCAAACTTTTTTGTTCCTTGCACCAGCCTGTCTGTAAGAGGTTCATCCCCCCATTTCCACACCCATTTCCTACCATCTGAGCCCAGGTGATTCACCTTAGTCTCACCACACCACACCACTCTCTTCCAATCCTCCAGAGTCCACTCTTTGTGTCTCCATCTTATGATGTCTGCTGAGCATGGGCTGCTTCTTCTTCACCACTGCTTTCCAACCAGCCTCCTTTAGTTGCAGCTGAACAGCCTCAGTTGAGAGGCTGGTGCTGGTGACTTTTTGAAGAATTTGGGTGACTTGTGCAGCATTGTTGGCTATACCAGAGTTGATAAGATGCATTGCATGATGGATATTGGTGTTTGAGAGCTCAGATGGGCAACCACCACTGGGCTTAGGAGTGTCAGGATGATGTTTAGACCAAAGATGGGTAACAGTGGAATGGTGGACAGCAGTAATTTATGAACACTGTGGCCAGAATCAATGAGAGAAAGCACTTGTTCAATTTTCAAAGCAGCCAATTGACACATTTTAGAATTGGGGATTAAATTAGGAGAGGGGTGGTGGGGGGGTGGTGGGAAGTGGTTAGATGGCAACGGGCGGTGAGCGGAGTGTGCGGGGAGTGTTCGGGCATGGGAGAAGGTCGGGGAGGAGGTCGTCTGACCCCAGGGAACGCTGGGTCGTGACAGAATCAGAGTCAACTGGGGGGGCCAAACAGGCTTGGAGCGGTGTACCTAGGCATGGGTGAAGGAAGACATCTAGTCCTCAACTGGGTTACAAGGACCCGGCCAGGTGGGTTCAGAACTGGTGGTGTTGTATCATCAGATACAGGCTCAGAGGTCATTGGGGGTTGGATACGAGAGTCGGCCATACTAGGCCTTCTGAAATGACTGACCTATGAGGTTGGGAGAGGGCTGTAGGGGTGTGCACTCAGGCACTGAGGGGTCGGGAGTGGATAGGGGTGATGTCCAGGTGGTGAGGGAGGATCGGCATCATGCATGGGCTTGCTCCAGGCTAAAGTGGTGCAGTGGTTGACAGGACGATGCAGCGAAAATGCTAGGTGAAGACCGGTCAAAGGCCAAAAGTTGTTAGGTGCAGAGTCCTTATCCCCCTCTTAGGGAAGACGTCCCATCATCTAGCTATGCTTATAGGCCTGTACCGAGTCTCCTGGAGACAGCGGTGGAACATCATGGTGTTGGGATAGTACTTCCACTATTGGACAGGCCAAAATAGCTGAAGCCAGAGGGTGTGGCGCTATTGGGATAATTCCCAATAAACTACCATGGGTGTTTGGGATTCCACACAC